TAGTCTCCGATAGACTGGATAAGTTTGTGTGCTAGCGTCGCATCTAGATTTTGAAGCTTGAGTGGCGGCTGTTTGTCCTCGATGGACTGAATTTAATGCGCCATATGATTTAGTAGGTTTCGAATTTACTGTATTTGCAAATTGTTCAATTCGGTCTCCAGGCATTGAATCGCCGACGTCTGTGTCGGGACAGTTGAGCAGTGAGCTGAAGCGATTTCCGAAGACATGCTCGCATCTTCGGTCGTTTGCGAGTTTAAATGATTGACGTGTGCCGGAGGAGACATAATCGCGCGAGGTTGTAGCGGTGTGCGGTTTTGAAAGGTGCGAGTATTTGTGTCCTTTAATCGATTGTTAAAGGCCCTTTTCCTACATTCAGCTATTTCGTGACCCGGGTTTTTGCAGTAATTACAAAATTTTGAATATGTTTGAGGCTGAGGAGCACCCTGCTGTGGGCGTTGTGTTTGAATTGCAAAGCGAAATGGTTTCCGCGGTTCTGTCGTTGTTTGAGGAATCACGCTTTGTTTATAAAGCCGCTGTCTAGCAGAATTCATATTCCTAATCTTTTCTTCTTGGATCGCGAAACTGGCTGCGTTTGATAAATCGTCGAAAGAGTTTACGCGTAACATTGTTCCGATATCTGAGCTAATGCCGTTTATAAAGACATTTAATGCCGTCTCTTCTGTCGTAGTTTTACGACCTTCTAACGTTATATCGGAAACTTCTGTTGCAAGTTTTTCTAATATTTTACTACGACAAAGATCAACCCTGAGATAGTATTCGGTTATCGATTCGTTTGGCTTTTGGAACATCGATTGCAGTTCCAATTGAAGATGTGCTAATGTTTTTGTTAGAGAAAATTTCTGTATTAGGTACGCTTTGAGATTATCCCAAAGAGGGAATTGTCTTGTATGGACATCTGAAGCACCGGATCCTATGATCTTGTTAAGTGCGAAAGTTAATAAAATTGACTGTTGGGGTATTGAGGCAATTTTAAATGCAGAATCACATGACCTGATATATCTATATACTTGAGCAGGTTGTGCTGTGTCGAAGTCCGGAATGAGTTTAAGTAGAGTTTCTAGATTGATTTCGACGGGTTTGAGTTCTTGTTTAGACATTATAATATGAATTGAGCTTGTAGATATATAATAAATATGTAGAGGTTAGGATATAGGAATTTTTAGAAAAATTGGAATAGAGCAAATCAGTTGACCACTTACCACAGTAACACAAATATGCGGACGGACATTGCAGGTTCGCAGGGAATATCAAAACCCTTCAGGTACCGTACTGCTTGCTGTTCTGCTGTTCTTGCTCGATGCACTCACAACCTAACAGGTACGTTTTCCCTGTCTGACTGCCCTAAGTCTATCCTACCGGCTGCGCCAAATTTGTTATATGGCAAAGGAAAAACTGATTTAAAAAAAAATAAACTATTTATTTTTTTATTTACTAATATACAATTTTAACTATATTAGGATAGAGACGATATTATGTATAATACAGACAAGTGATGTCTATGAGTTAGGAAATAGTAATCAATTACAGTTCTTATGGTTTAAGATTATATAGTAGAAAAACGATGAGATAGTTAAACATAATTAGTTAAGTAATACATCATTAGTTAACTATTGTGAAATGGACCTTAGCATTTCCTTAGTGAGTGTTTACATGATTAGGTGAGTATGTTTACATTCGAAATACTTATCTAGCTATTGATTATACATTGTATTGTATTTATATAACATATGTATTGTATTATAATATTGTATTATATAACACAGACGCTATACCAACTAAGCCACGGAACGAACCAACGGACCTCACGAATTTTTCTATGTGCTTGCGTCGTGTCTTTGTATTTGGTTTTTCAACGACTTTTTAGTCGTAGCGCCATCTATGAGAAATCTATGAAAGATTTATCACCCAGTTAGTACCTTTACAGCTACCAGTCCTGGCGAGAGATGTCGCTATTCACTGTATTAAAAGAAGACGTCGGTTCGAATTCGACCGGAACGAAGGAATTTTTTCTGAGTGTTCTATCTTTGTATTAATAATTATAACAAACTAGTGGAGTCATTTCACAAAAAAAATTGAATATCAATTCAATAAAAATTTAATTTATCATTACTTGCAAATTAGCATACTTACATTCATTATAAGGAAAAAAAAAGACAATTATTGGTCCAATAGTATTGCATTAAGTGATGGGGATGCAAATGTAATTATCATCATCATTCAGCCATACGACGCCCACTGCTGGGCATAGGCCTTCCCCAACGATCTCCACGACGATCGGTCCTGCGCTGCCCGCATCCATCGGCTTCCCGCGACCTTTACCAGATCGTCGGTCCACCTGATGGCGGGCCTACCCTACCTACACTGAGCGTCATCCGGTGTGCGGTCGCCATTGAAGAACCTTTCCGCCCCAACGGCCATTGGTTCTCCTAGCTATGTGCCCCGCCCACTGTCAATTTAGCTGAGCAATTCTTCGAGCTATCTCGGTTACCTACGCATTTCCTCATTTCTGATTACATCACGTAGGTTAATACCGAGCTTCGTTCTCTCCATTGCCCGCTGAGTGACCTTGAGCCTTCTTATGAGGCCCATAGTGAGGGACCACGTTTCTGATCCATATGTGATCACTGGCAACACACACTGGTCAAAGACTTTCGTCTTGAGACACTGAGGTAATTTGGACGCAAAGATTTTTTGTAGTTTCCCGAACGCTGCCCATCCGAGTTGTATACGACGAGAGATCTCTTTCTGAAAGTTGGACTTACCTAACGGGACTGTCTGCCCCAGGTATACGTAATGGTCAACAACTTCGAGTGTAGTGCTCTCCCAATTTTAACTGGAGCGGGTACAACATGGGCACTCGACACGATCTTCATCTTGTCCATGTTCATCTTAAGACCCACTCTTTGGGAAACACTACTGAGATCTTCGAGCATTATGTTCAGGTCTCCCAAGGTCTCAGCTATAAGAATTATATCATTGGCAAATCGAAGGTGTGTTAGATAGGTACTCGCCGTTGATGTTGATGCCAAGTCCTTTCCAGTCCAGAAGCTTGAAAATATCCTCCAACGCAGCAGTGAACAGTTTCAGAGATATCATATCTCCCTGTCTCACGTCTCGTTGCTATTGGATAGGATTAGAGCTCTGATCCTGTAATCGGACTGTCATAGTGGCGATTTTGTATAAGTACCTTAACACCTCGATATAGCTATAGTCTGCTTGGCACCTTTGGAGAGACTGCAGCTCCGCCCAGGTCACGATCGAATCAAAGCCCTTTTCATAGTCCACAAACGCTAAGCAAAGTGGCCGGTTATACTCCTCGGTCTTCTGTATAACCTGCCGCAGCGTATGAATGTGGTCTATGGTACTAAAACCCTTTCGGAAACCGGCTTGTCGGGGAGGTTGGAAGTCGTCAAACCTGCGAGCGAGACGATTCGTGATAACTCTCGAAAACAACTTATAGATATGGCTCAGAAGCGAGATTGACCGATATTTCTTCAAGAATGTTTTATCACCCTTTTTGAAGAACAGGACGACCGGAATATCTTCGATATAATGTCGAGTAAGCTTGGCTCTAGGGTCTTTAGCTTCGCTTTCAACAGGTGCTTTCGTGGATTATAGCTGTCGATAGAAACTCTCCATCTCCCTCAAGATTTCAACTTTAGATGAAATGATGCTACCGTCATCAGTTTTCAGCTTCGTCAGTTGGCTTTGCCCAATAGACAGATCTCTCGCGAACATCTTGGAGCCTTTGTTTCGCTCAATGGTCTCTCGCTCTGTATTAAATTGGCATATATCGCTAGTCAAAGACTTCGATATCTGCCTATTTAGCCGCCTGTAGTGACTTGCATCCTCTGAGTTCTGTAGCCTCATTTCATGTCTCCGTCCCATGAGTTGGAGTGTTTTATCGGAGAGTTTCTTCATTCTGGTACGGTGGGTTTTGAAAAACTTGGACCCAACCGTACAGACAGTATTCACCACCATGTTGTTTAGATCGTCACATCTATGCTGTTTTCGAGGGCTTCGAAGCGGTTTTGAAGTTCGAGTTGAAAGCTTTCGGGGTTTTGGAGTTGTGCAGGTATTGGTCGGAGCGTAGAGTTTATCAGTCGAGATCTTTCAAGCCTGATATTGATATTCAATGTGCCTCGTACCAACCGGTGATCACTTCCTGTTTTAACGGTGTTGATAACAGAGACATCATTGAATATATGCTTTTTCGTCATCATGATAAAGTCAATCTTATTTTTTATTTTACCATCCGGACTCGTCCAGGTCCATTTTCGAGATGGAGATTTCCTGAAAAAGGTGTTCATCATAAAGAGGTTCTCCTTTTCCTTGAAATCAACCAACATCCGGCCTCTGGCGTTCCGTTGTCCAACTCCAAATTGCCCCACTCTCAGCTCATCACCGCAACGCTTTCTCTACTTTGCTTTGAAGTTATATATAATAATAACCGTGTAGTGGGTTTTGTAGCTATGCATGGCTTTTGAGATCTCCACGTACATAGCCTCCACTTCGTCATCTGGGTGTGTCGAGGTCGGAGCATAAACCTGAATGACATTCAACGAATATCGTTTTGATATTCTGAGTTTCAGGTATGCCACCCTGGTCGACACACTTCCAATTTAAATCACGTTGTTAGTAAGGGATTTGTGCACGATAAACCCAACACAACCAAGAGACTGTTGGTCGCCCTCCCAAGAGTAGAATAAGTTGCCGGAGTTAAGGATTATCGAGTCCTGCCCCTCTCTTCGGACTTCAGATACCCCATTGATATCCCAGCGTGGCTTACTAATAGTTGCTTCCAATTCTGTGAACTTTGCGTCGGTCCTCAATATGCGTGTGTTGTAGGTTGCCAGGTCCAGTCGTCGTCGTTGATGGTAGCCGGGTCTCCCACGGGAATTCTTCGCACCCCATGCCCTATGCACCAAGCGGCAAATGTAAATAGTAGTAATTTATTGTAATTAATCAATTATCATTAGGAAGTTCATGAAAATGAAGCATATGCTTGGTCCGTATCGGATTCATACCAAACTGAAGAACCTACTGTTGAACGAACACCTGGTGTTTGGGAGCATGCTGAATATGTAACTGCAAATGGTGAAATAGCCAACGAGGAAGCAGACTACGACGATATTGAGGGATATGTCACCGACGGACACGAAAATGAAAATGTCTATGACGGTGCAGCTAATTTTAAAATTACCAATGACCCCAATGCACACGAGGAGATGGTTCAAGATTATGGATACATAATTAACAATGAATCAACTGAACTTAATACTGGACTGAAATTAAAAAGCGACGAGTACTATGAGTACGATGAATACGACACATATGACAAGGACAATGACAAGGACAATAACTACGACCAACACGGTGATTCCGGTGAACATGAGAATGCTATACAAAAGCTACAAAAGAAAACGACAACAACAAAGAAAACAACCACAACAACAAAAAAGACAACAACAACGACATCACCAACAACAACAACAACACCAACTATAATTTCATCGAGTACGTATCAAAATTTAAATTTACCAGTTTAATGACTACGGTGATAATATGTTCAATAGGGCAGGTATGAGAAGTAAAGTTCGGTTTTTAATGCAGCCAAACTATTCCCAATTGAATCGAGACTATGTATACAGAACAAACAGTTATCATGCCGGACTGCCACGCAGAGGTCCTAGGTTCGATTCCCGGGCCAGGAGAAATATTTGGGTGTAATTTGTGGTTGTCTATGTGTGTGTTTATGGCACCCGCGACACAGAGTTTCCCTAGTGCGGGGCTATGTTGAGTGTGTAATATAGATAGTGTGTAGTATAAATATTTCTTTGTTCTGATACTCATTGAACAAGTAATTCAAATATTGATTAGGGATGCAACAAACTCCTGCTTCTGCTTCCAACTGCGGAAGTTCCACATGATTTTTCACATGTTTCCGTTTCTGCTTCCGCAACTCTTATAGAAGAACTTTTATCGGAAGTTTAAAACATTCGCGATGGATCAGGCGTGTGCGCGCATTGCTTGGCAGTGGAGCGCGTATGTCTTAGCAGTTGTTACCAGTTAGCAGTTGAAATTAAAAATCCCTATTTGTAACCCTATTTCGTTGAGATCTTTGTAATATTTACACTTCCGCTTCCGCACCCACTTCCGCATCCGCTTCCGTTTCTGCTAAGATTTACTTTGGACACCTGTTTCCATTTCTGTTTCTGTTATGATATTTCCGTTGCATCACTAATATTTATGGACATAAATATTATTATGTTCGCATGTTTATAACTTATATTCGTTCTAGGTTGTTCTCTGTATTTTGATTTTTGATTTTTTTGACGCTATAAAGGTGCTTGACTAGGACTCTGTTAGCTGGTGCACAGTATAACACAAAGTAGTCTTAGAAGTATATCCTCTGTTAAAAAACTACATGAAAATTGTGTCAATAGTGCCCTTAAAGGGAGAAGGGAGAAACTTAAGCACGTCTTAAAACAATGCTTAAAATGATATATACAAACACTCTAACACCATTGTGCTTGCAATGCAAAAAACACTCTTAATACATTTATTAAAGGTGTTTTTTGCGTTGCAAGCATTGGTTTCAGATAAACTTAAGTTTAGTGTAAGTGGACATTAAAATTCAACAATATTTTAGACACGACCATTCACGCCATCACAACGGATACGCCATCGACTGTGATAATTTGGGAATTCGGGACATCACCTACTGCTCAACGACTACCTCCTGACGTCAGTATATGCAGCGAAAATGCGAGGTGTCGTTTTCCATTTGGATACCCCAATGAAACAACTAAATTTCAATGACAAATAAGTCTACTCAGAAAGCGAAATAAGATCTAGAAGATTTAGTTATTGCTATTGAAATGTTGAATAACTAATCAGAAAAATCATTTAAAATCAACTTGATTAATTCTGAATGCCTAATACACCCAGAACCTTTAATTAAAAGAAAAATAAATTGCTTTTAGTGATTTGAATGAGAGTTATTTTGATGAACATTTCCTCTGACCACAAAGTTCAGATCTAAACCAAATTCTTGCAATGTCGCCCCGAAGGTATGTCTTATTACATAATACTAAGAATTATGGAAATTGAAATGAAAATAATTATAATATTATTATTATTATACCGCCGAATTACTGACTAATTCTGCTCATGAATAACTCTCTACTCAAAACTATTATATGGTACGTGCACTCAACAACCGTCTCCTATCGTACCTTGAAGACAACTACCACCTCAGTGATCGCCAGTACGGATTCCGACGAGGGCGATCTACAGGGGATCTTCTTGTGTATGCCTGTCACATATAGAGCGAGGCTATAGAAAAACAAGGCGAAACACTTACAGTGTCTTTGGACATTTTTTAAAGCCTTTGACAGGGTCTAGCACGCAAGCCTTTTAAGTAAGCTTCCCTCTTATGGACTTCCCACTGACCTTTGCAATTGGATCTCGGATTTCTTGAACGAACGTTCGATTTGAGTCGTCTTAAAAGGCTACTCTTCAGAACATATGGCGATAGATACCTAGAAGAGTTCCTCAGGGTTCCGTACTGTCTGCAACTCTCTTTCTGCTGCATATCAATGATATGTTAATTTCAGGTACCTTTGCGTATGCTCATGACAGTACAGTTGTAGATAGATAGGTACTTGACGAATGCAAGGGTTAGTGGAGAGGAAATGCAGTCTTGTCGAAGGTCCATGGTTAGCTGTTTAGATTTTACACTCCAGGCAGTCTCCGATAGGGGCAATGCCAATCTTGTCAAATTTAACGCTACCAAAACGGAGTCCCTTTGAGCTGACTCCGACTTTTCGTGATATATTCATACCGATACCCGACTGCCTCCAGCTACTTGGAATGGACCTGTCGTTCAATTCCGCAGATACATTGAATCCGTGGCCAAAAATGCAGCAAGGAAGCTTGGGATCCTTTCCAGGGTGAGGCGTTACTTCACTACACCGGGACAGTTACTTCAGCTGTACCAAGCACAAGTCCGGTCGTGCATGGAGTACTGCTGTCACCTTTAGGATGGCTCTGCTACATATCAACTGGCCACTTTGGATTCAATTGACAACCGTGCCAAGAGGCCTATAGGTGACTTGGAATTAGTGGAGGCGAAGCTGCTAAATGCTGCTAAGCTGTTGCAATGACGTAAAATTTATAAAAGATAACTGAATAATGTCTCTGTTGCGTCTTTTTTCAAATTTACGCTTTCCCGTTTTAAGAACCCTTATATTATTAGTACTAATCATACTTCAACGTATATTTCTTGATATGAAATAATAATATATAACATAATAATAATAATAGTTATTTCATAAACAGTTACAAGTACAACAAAAAAAAAGTCAAGTAAAAAGTCAAAAACAGTAGGTACCTACGTTACATAAAAAAACTTATTTCTATGATTGTATGTACGTGCTACTTATATAAAATGTTTAAACTCCCGAATCCTAAACTAAGCAAAAGCGTTGTATTTTGGGATTCTGTATTCTTCCACTCCTTGGCTACCACTAGGTAAATACAGTACAACCAAAAGGTAAAAATCAACAGTATAAATATAGACAATTGCTATGATATGTAAGTATAAAAACTACCACAATAACATAATTAAAAATAAAACTAATAATATTAAAAATAAAACATATAAAAAAATTATTTAAAAAATGTACTACACTGCTGTCTTTGTTCCTGCAATTTCTGAGTTGTCCTTATTGTAAAAGTTACAGATGTCAGCTATTAAAATTTAGGACCTAATTAAACTAATTTTCTAGTCAAGTACGATTCTGTACTCATAACTCTGAACAACAAATCCTAAAGATTTCACAATTATCCTTTACAATATACGTCCAAAAAGATGGTTAGCTCGTTATGCTCAATAACAATTTAGGGTTTTCAAACTCGCTGGATCTCCGCGTCCCAGGAAAAAAATTCGGTACGCTTCGGAAAATCCCGGGAAAAACGACTCTTTCGAGACTGTTGTAAAAGTAGGTTTCCATGCTTATTAACTGGGCTTTTAGGCTCAAAACATGATATTTTAATTAAGTACTTTAATAACACAAATTATAAAATGAAAAATTATTTATGAAACTTATTTTTTCATTTTTGTAGTGGGTACTTAAGAAACAAAGGATGTTTAGTAAAGTTTCAGATGTCGAGGACCGGATTTTGTTACTTCCGTTCTTCAATCTCTACAAATTATAATAAGAAGCACAGATACATAGTGTTGCCACGTCCACGTAGCCAGAATAAAAAATAACTGGTGATTTAGTAGCTTTTTAATTAATTATTTTTAAAGTGTTGATATTTTTGAGACTGAAAATATCAGTCTTGAGTCTCGAAAATGCCAAAAAATTGCCGATACTCGAAATTTTCGAGACCGAAATTCCCGGGACAAACGCCCTAGTGTAGACATAACTTCTTATTAGAATTTATTATTATTGCACATCATTACGGCCCTAGACTGGAGAAACTACATAATAATTGACAGGGATGCTGACAAATTTAGTAGCAATAGAGCTATTTGTGAAAGAATTCATCCAGGGAAGTACTGCCACCTTCCCAATTTCTGCCGCCAAGGAGTAATGTTAGCATTACTGTGTTCCGGTTTTGAAGGGTAAGGTGCCGGTGAAATTACAGGCACATGAGACTTGTTAACTTCTATGTCAGGGTGACGGGCGCAGTGGCAGTGCTCCTCAGATATTTGCGATTTAACGCTCTGAATGGCACTGCAACTGTTATGGACAGGCGTGTAGCTTACCATAAGGCGCACGACTTGTTCTTCCTGTCACTTGATATTATAAAAAAATGGAGAATTTAACTACATACGGCAGGAAATATTTCAAAAAAATCTCTTTTATTTAAGTAACAGGACGTATGGACATGCGCCTGGTCGTAAGCCACCTACCTATAGGTGGCTTACGACCAGATAATATAACCTGTAATTTCACCAGCATCCTTGCTCTATAAAACCGAAACACAGTGGGTAAAGCTCACATTTATAGTAGGAACTTCCTTATATGACCTCTTACTCAAGGATCTCGACCAGAAACTTCTTTATTTCATAAATTATAGCAGCAAATTGCACTTGAAATCGATAATTTTTTTTAACACTCCTACTCATTCGAAACACAGATTGTCCCGAGAAGAGTGAGTTAGAAATTGTAGTGGTTGTTCTTTGTAAATAGATATTTATATAAAAATATTTTTGTATAAATATCCTAGTACGGATTTTTATCATCCAAGAACATAATGTAGAAAGTATTTGTTTCATGATAGTTTTAAACCTCGTAAATAGTAATTAATATATCTGAAAGAAAACAGTGTTTAATTGTCAGTTTATATTTCTTCGTCGAATTAATATCATGCCTAGGACCACTCTAAGAAGCTTCAACTTACAATAGACGTATGTAGAAGCATTGTAGTGCCGCGACGCGCAACAGTTGCTTTACCTGTAGCAAGAGCAAGTCCGGTTGTGCATAGAGTACTGCTGCCACCTTTGGGATGGCTCTGCTAAATACCAACTGGCTACCTTAGATTCAATTGACAACCGTGCCAAGAGGTTTATAGATGACTCGGAATTAGTGGAGGCGAAGCTGCAGAGCCTTGAACACGGCTGTAAAGTTGCCTGCTTATTGGTATTTTACAGGATATATCACGGAAAGTGTGCGATGGAATTACACGATTTAATTCCGCGTTCCCCTTTCCATCACCGGGGGACTAGACGTAGGCTTGGCTTCTAACCCTATGTTGTCGATATTCCAAAGATTCGCATGAAGCGTTACGCTTCCACATTTATATGGCGAACGGCTATGGAGTGGAATTCCCTGCCTGCAGACTTGTTCCCTGAACGTTATATCTTGGGCCTTTTCAAGGCGAGAGTGAATAGGCATTATTTAGGTGTGCATGCTCCATCGTCGACCTTTTCGTCACTTTCCATGAGGTGAGATGGAGGTCAAATGTGCACTTACACAATTTTATTAAAAAAAAATTTGAGGTCACTAATTGGCCACTGTGACACTGGCGCTTCTATAAGCGTCTAATCTGAAGTTGCTCTAAGCCACATAGAACAAGTCCAGTCTATGTACATTTTTCATGAAAGTCACTTGTCTTCTTAACATGAATTACAATTTCGCCAATGTAATGCTGGATACGAGTAGCACAAAACCGGTCGGTGTCGTAGTGACATTTGGGGAAGGCTGTGTGCAACGGGTCTCTTTCGGCGGAAATGACTGTGACGCCAGTTTAAGAAACTAAATTTCTGTTAACGTCTTTCAGAAACACTTTAAGTGGAAAATTACTCCAGCAACAGGCAACTGTACTTTTTTATGTTACTAAGTGACGAGGCGAACAAGTCGTGTTTCTAGTGGTAAGTGACACGCCTGTCCATAACAGTTGCAGTGGCGCTCACTGCTTTAAATCACAAAGATCTAAGGGGCACTGCCACAGCGCCCGTCGCCCTGAGACATAAGTTGACAAGTCACATGTGCCTATATTTCACCAGTACTCTTGCCCTTCACATTACTGCTAGACGGCCGAAATAAGGAAGGTCTACTGCACAAAGAGCTCTACTAATGTTATCGTTTAGACCACCCAATCACCGAAACTGCACAAAATACGTAAAACAGACCCATTTTACGTATTTTGTGTAACACTTTACACAAAATACGTAAAATGTTTAATAAAATTTTAATTAAATTTAGTAACACTTTGTCAGGTGTTAACCGTATGAGTTGTTTTTTGCTCTTTGAATCGTAATCAAAGCATATCGATAACATTGTAGATTGTTTTATGTTTCACATTGTTACTATTGAACATCAAAAGACATAAGTTTCAATGTACTAGTAATTGTCTAATTCATAATAAGCTAATTCTGGAGAATTAAGAATAATTATTAACATATATGAGACATAAAAAAACTTTATGTATATTTTTTATTTAGCAATGATTAAATTTACCAATGTTTTAATTTTGACTGTCTCAATTGCCTTTAATAAATTTGTGAAAGCGCCCGCAATAACAAGTAAGTCAACCAATATTTTAAGGATTAGTATGTTTTTAACAATGATATTAGGATTTTAACGATAATTAATTAGTATGTAGCACGGGTATACGCCAGGGATTTAAAGTACTTTAAATATTATAAATAGGATGTTTTATGAATTTTATTTTTAAAAGTATGTTATACTGCATTCAAAGTTTTTTTAAACTTGCTTGCCTCAGCCAGGTATTGAATTGAACAAATGTGAAAAAAAAAACTCCTGTTTTTTCTGAGGCCGTGAAATTAAGTATAAAAATTATTTAATAATAATTCTAGAGTCTAAGCTCAGTATCTGCTTATTTGTATTAATTATTAAGATTTACTGGTCAAAGAATGTGATTGATTATTTAATATTGACTGATAAGTGATTTCTCAGTGTTGCGATTCCATCTCTGTCATCCCCACTGAAAATAAGCGCCTTAGTGAACTTAGTCAGATGTTGAGCGCCCTTTCTGTGATATGACTAAAAAAACAAAGAATAGTCCTTATCTCTACGCCATTGTTTTTTAGTTTTCATACCAGGAATGATAGCATTATACGTACTGGTCATAGCTACACTATTTCTCAATGAATTACAGACCATTACGCCTATGTATTAATTGCTTAATTAATTAATTATATTTAATTGCTTTGTAAGTAACATTATTTAATATCCTATTGTTTAATAAGTAATGTTAATGTTAATTAGATTTCAGGAATTTTCTCGTTTGTATTATTAACTTTTCGCATATCGATGCCTTACTTTCTCCTATCGATGCCTTACTTTCTCAACGTATCTTATAAAGAGTGATATTTCAGGAGATGGCAAAACTTTCTATTTATTTTAAATTTCTTATCAAGGGTGTTAATTTGGATTTATTACTTTAAGAATAGGTTAAAGCCAGTGTGTGAATATGAAGAAAAAGTGATATGAAATCAGCATGCAAAATTTGTGTATACAATCCATTTATTGCATTTCAGTAACTTTGTGCTTTAAGATACGAGTTTGAGAAAGGAAGGCGATGATATAATATATATCGTAGATCCTTCCTAGAATTGGTTACCTATGTAACTTACTTACTTATGTAACATTACGTGTTTTTTCTACAGGGGCCAAAGTACTTTATTCCAATAACAACCAAAAGAATCCGAACAATCTAAGATGTAACCCAGCCCTGCTTGATTATGACTACTATGCTTGCTATAACATTAATCCTGACATTATTTACCCTCAAACGCAGCAACAAATAAATCAAGATCATGCCACCACACAAGTAGCAGAAACCCAAGAACCGGTAGTTTAAGTCAAAAAAGGTGTAAGGGCTATGTACCAATAATTTCCACTGTATGCTCCACTCGCCCTTCTGAATAACTTTTTCCACGGCGATTAAATTTGACAGAAAATAAAATAATAACATCCTACTATTGCATTGCATTTACCTGAAGTGTCGATCTCCTAAAGTAGTCAATACTACTTACATTTACATATCGCAACCTACAAGAGACATCTTTGGAGATACATTAAATGTTGATGGGTCAACGTTTGACCATAAAACGTGACATCGCTCATAAACACCGAGAGAAGGATAAAAAGATCATAACATGATAAGAAGTATTTAAGTAGTGACAATTATTTTCTGAATAACTACGTAAATTTAGTGTATAGTAACGTAAAAAAATAGTGCGAGATATTAAGGTTTTACTAAAGTGATGAGATAAAAGTTCTTACAAAAGTTAGTGTGATAAACAAACGTTGTGATAAAAAAACGGTGCGAAACAAACGTTCTTTAACAATAAGTGTGATAAAAACATGTTATAAAAATTGTGCGAGACAAAAGTTCTTAAACAAGTAAGTGTGAGAAAAGGTGTTCTAAATGTGGCGTTAGACAAAAGTGCACTGAAAAACATCACACGCTTGTCAAGTGGAACTTAATACTATCAATACAATTTATTGATAGAATCCATCGAGTATATAACCAGAAATAGAGGCGAAATAAGTGCCATTCGTCCCTGGCAATTCATCAGGCAAATGGGCCTTATATCACTTTTAAATATCAACTCTCGTTTGCGCTGAAATCACAAGTTAGAAAACTGAAATAGTAAAGCGCTAATAACTGACCTGTGTGTACGTCTCCGTATATTCCAGAAATATTCTGTATTTATTGTAATAAAAGATAATATTTCTAACAATGGGGGCTGTTCCATTCGATGGTGTGGGAAAAACAGCAAAACATCTAATTACAAAACAAACGAAATCACATTTCATCGGTAATTAAATATTAAATATGTAATTTTGCAATTTTCGTGCATTATAGCAAATCTCAAGTTAAACTGGTCGTTTTGAAGTGAAACAATTGACGACACCCGCCAATTGTTTCGCATTCGGGCTGACCAATCGGAGCGCTGTTGTCACAGTGATGATTTGGCAGAATAGTTTTCAAACAAATTAAATGACATTTCGTCTCTGTTTCTGGTTATATACTCGATGATAGAATTAAACACTTCATGATCACATTCATTACCTATAATGTTGCTGCAATAAATTGTGCTTAATAAGCTCAAACGGGAATAAGTTCTTTGTTGTTACGATCAAATTTGTTTTTTTAGTGTATGATTAAAGTGGTATGAGATGAAAGTTCTCATAAGAGGAAATGTAATGAAAAGTTGTAACAAGTGTTGTGAGATGAAATAACTTAAACTGCTAAGCAGCTCCGTTTTATTCTGCTATAACCGGACGGTAAACAAAACTTTGCGCGGCCCATAATATGTTAATTCTTTCTGACGCCATAGAAAAAGTTGTTCGAAATGATGAGTGGAATGACATGTTTGGTACACGATCATTTACACCGTCAAAAACAAACATAGAAAGAACACTGAAAATTATCGATCACGTGCATTTTGTCAGAATTAAGATTCATGTACAGTATACAAAAGTTAATATTCTTATACATATTCTTATTAGAATGTATTTAATGAAATTAAAATTTAAACAAAAATTTAAAGGAATAGAAGGTAACTACAAATCCATCCATGATATTTGACAGAATACAACCAACAACCAATGTTCGTTAATATATTGAGAACATTGAGTCAAACTTCATTAGCGCCATTATTTCAGGATTCGAGGGTAACTCCTCGACTCTCCCCGTGAAGTTACTTAAGTAAACTTTTTCTTTGCTTGCGAATTATTATGATACACTCGCTATATGCAAAAAAAAATTCAGAAGATAATTAATAATTAATTTTAACAATCAATTATCATTAGGAAGTTCATGAAGATAAATCATATGGTTGGACCTTGTCGGGCACACATCAAACTGGAGAACCTGCTGTTGAACGAACACCTAATATTTGGGAGTATGCTGATTACGTGACTGGAAATGGTGAAACAGCCCATGAGGAAGCGTCCTACTATATATATGACATTACCAATGAGGGATATGTCAGTGACGGAGTAGAAAATGACAACGTCTACGACAGCGTAGCTCTTTTTGAAATTACTAATAATGCCAACGCAGAAGACCAAGCAAATCAAGATTATGAACACACAGGTGATAGGGAGGCAACTGAAGTTAGTACTGACCTG